TAATAATAATAATAATATAATTTTATTAAAAGAACTAGTTGCATTTGTCAGTTGTACGTGAACCTTGTTTATTATGGAAGGAAAACAAAATAAACGCTATGACAATTATGGGTCTTCTTATTAACCTAAACATAAATATTACAATAATTAATTTTATGTTGTTTATTGATCTTTGAAAATTTTATTTATATTATAGTGCCTTACGTCAGGCTCCTATAAAGGGTACTACTCTAGGCACGTAGCACTTAGGAGGAAAAAGGGAAGAGGAATGGGAGGCCTTTTATAACTGGGAGTGGGGTAGGGGGAATTTAGGCAATTATGCTGCCAAGAGGGTACCTAAGCCCTCTCCGATGAGCATTATGTGGTAAAAATGTACATGTGAAAATTTACAGAGGTACCACTTGCCCGAAAAAGTTGCACTGGCTGATAATCGAACCACGGTCTTCCGCGTGCCGATCTACAACCTAGCTGACTGAGCCACCACGTGCTCATATTCGTAATTAATCATGCCTTAAATGTACTATTAATATTAACTATTGAGAGTGGGAGGAAAAGGGGAGAGAGAAGCTGTTTAGTTGTATGCGGTGGTAGTGGCGTGGGGTTGCTTTTTCAAGTGCAGGAGTAAAGAGGGCACCAATGGCTTATGAGGTGTGTTGCCTCATTTTTATATGACTAAAAATAACATTTAGTATTTGTCACACCTTAGAATTTATCCATAAGTTGACGTGTTTGCAGCGTCTGGTTTCTCACAAAAATTTTTATCTAGAGCAATAAAGATATGCTAGGTGCACTGCATGCGGGTGTGACTTCTTTGAAACAGTTCCTTCTTGAAGGCGATAAGAAAACGCCAAATGTCTTTTCCCTTTTGGTGCTGTTTGTGTGGATGGATAGAAGTAGTAAAGAGCGAGGATGGTGCAAAAGTGTGGGTGTCAGGCAATTTAAAAATTTCGAACATTTGGCTGCTAACGTTACACGATGACTTATATACCATATAAATCCGTATTGTTAGAATAAAAAAACAGTTAAAATCTAGCATAAAAGTACAACATATCTTGTTCAGCTCTAGATACTTCTGACACGTGTAGTCAGTTATCTTTTGTCACATCAGCTATCCTTATTTAGTACAATATTACTCCTATCTGCTTTGTACGCTTTAAATCATTCTGGCTCAAATAACTACTGACTTATAGTTGTCGTTTCTTTGAAATTTTATGTTACAAAAATGCAAACTATATTTTTGATAGATATAATTCTGAATTTGAAGTTCTTAAAGCATTTCGATTTTATCGAATAGCTCAAAATGAGAAACAAAATATGAATAAGTAAGAGGCTTAAAAGTATCACGTAAAAGGGTATTTATATTGTTTTATTACTTTTCAGGTTTACAACAGTCATATTGGCCAAGATCCCTTTCGATCAAAGGTATCATTTTATAATTATTTCACTTAGTATTTCTATTAACATGATTTATAACTAAAGTTCTTTTGTTCTTAGAAATCAGATAGTTTATCAAAACTTTATGAGATGGATGATTCAATCGAACGAAGATCCTGGCTGGACAAGCTTGTAGGTTTTATGGAGGATCGCAGGACGCCTATCTCAAGTTGTCCCACCATCTCCAAGAACCCCCTCGACTTATTTCGTTTATATCTCTTCGTCAAGGATAGAGGGGGCTTCATGGAGGTATGCAAGGTGCAGTGTAGTTCCATCTAGCTCTCGGTGTACTTGAAATATCTATTTTTGTCTTAGTATCAAAAAATTTTTTTAAAGAACGTCACGATTCTCATTTTTATATGTTCTTTTGATCTTTGAACTATAACATTAAAGACGTTTGGTCAGTATTACGTATTATTAGTGTTTACGCATGAGTTATCAGTTGTTTTTTATGCAAATTTCAGATTTTAATAATCCTATAGAAAGTTTAACTCAATTTTGTATTTCTCATTTATTTGTTTATTTTTTTTTTTTTTTGACACTGGTGCTAAATGGAATTATTCTTTATAAAATTTATCCTTTTCGTTTTCTTATTAATTTCTCGGAATCTTAAATTGTTTATTTTTGGTATCAACAATATCCCTTCAACACTACATTTCATGTTTTTTTAACCGTTTTAAAATGTTATAAGGTAGCTAAATTACACTATCGAACACTTGAAAATAATTTCATTTAACATGATGTATGTCTTTGTCACAAAAAATTTGACTTTCTAATTTCTTGTTAAAATTTATCATTCCATTTCCATATAAGATCTCGTACTAGTTAAAATCAGTGGTTACAAAAGATGTTTTCCGAAAAAATTTGCAGACAAAAATTTGTTGTAAAAAATTTCATGAGGTTAAATTAAATTTTAAAACACTACCATGCCTTGTTTTTCACGTACATTTTATACCACTTTAAGTAATTATTTACATACGTCTCGAGCACTTTTACTCAGTCTTTAAATTTCATATAGCCTCCTCAGTGGTAGTAAGCCTAGATTAGTCGGCCTACCACGTCTTTTTTGTTTATGAGGCGTACAGCCATATCAGATGTGGTTACTCAGACTTACCTGGCCCTCATCGTCTGGCTTCACCTGCCGCCAGGCGTCTAACGCAAGCCCGGGAAAGGACCTACCACCCGCAACTCGGAACAATCCGTCAGTGTTCCTGTGTTTGTTTAGTGAGAGTGTGATGCATGTATCTGAGAAGAATGTTATAACCGCCGCTTACTTCTATACATGACGGGTGCTCGTTTTTGTTGGCCCGCATCAAGCATCGGAGCGCCACCCATGGCGGCAGTAGAAAGCGAAGAACAATGAGCCCAAGCAGGGCCGGCCCATGCATCTCCACTGATGACGACACAGGGCACGAGTCTTCCGTCCACACCGCCACAGATACACATGTCAACGCTGCACACGGCTCCTAATCCACGCCCCGACCATCACCACAGAAAGTCACCCCAGCTGCCCATCGTTACCTCATATCTTATGAGGATGCCCCTATTTGCCACCTGGGGAAGCGCCCGGTATGGAGAAGCTAGCAAAAACCCCACCTGGGAGTTCCAGTAGTGGTAGTTGTCATAATAATGGTAATAGTAATCTTACAAGTAACAATAATAATAATAATAATATNATCTTTACTCTGTATATTGTTACTTTTCATGACCATTGACTGTTATCTAATAATCTTAAGTTTTCTTAAATTAATAGAATTTTTGATGTTTTGATTTTTACTATTAAAAGAAAAACACTTATTATTTGCAAGATTCTCTGCCATTTGGCAGCAATAGCAAGATCCAAGATATTATGCTTTTAGAAGATACTTGCAAAGTCAAAGATTCAAGTGGTTACTCTAGCCCTAGGACGCTTTTGCTTTGAACTATATACAAGCTTAGTTTAACTGTGATTTTTTAATCCTTTATCTACATTATTATTGTATCCTGTGTATAACTGGAATAAAAAATTTTAATATCTTTTGTGCTCGTAAAGCTCTATTTGACTACCTTGACAAAGGTAACTCCATGCTTTAGCGCCGCTGCCGAAAAAGGTCACATAAATTTTGAGACCGTTTCACAATACCATTTTCTAGATAGTAAATGTTGAAATTCAAAACGTATCCTTATGGAGGAGTTACATGAAAATGGAATTTATAAGTAAATGATGTGTTGAATTCATCCAACTTTTTTTGTATGACGCAATACCATTAAACTATTATTATATTAAATTTTTGTAGGGGTTGACAAGTTATTTTTCTAATAACATTTAAAAAACCGGTTTCAGGTGCATGTATATAAGTATACTTGTACACTACAAGCAGTTTCCGGTGCGGTACATGTCTCTTCCCTTCTTACCGTTCTCTAGTTTTCCCCTGCTCACTGTGTTAAACATCTTTAAGTTCCGAAACATTAACCTTAGAATTCTTACCACTCATTTCCAAATCTACTACACACACAACTGGAGATTTAACCTTGACTATCGATAGCTGTCTTCATACAATGGTGCTACTTTATTTGAAAATTGTTGGCTATCCTGTGCTAGTAAAATTATGGAAATCAATCGAAATCTTTTATAATTTCTCGAAGGGATCACAAGCTTCTTACTGCCGTACCTGTACGTTATGAAATCTAGTAAATTATCAGTCTTGAATTTGTAGAGCAACTCGTTTTTGACACGCAAGGTCATGTACTTATGGGAGTCAATTTAATAGCTTTTTAATGTTCCAATACTCTAGGACCTTATCAAAGGCCATTACGTCTCTAGTCGCCTCGTACATGTGTGACAAGCTGTTGGTCATACTATAGAAAACGCCTTTACGGTGCATAATCTTTTTGTAGCTGAAAAGCTCAACGAGCCAATCTGCCCGCTAAATTCTTTAAAACCATTAGCCACTTTGATCCGTTGTTACAATAAAATGGTATCTCTTAAAACAAAATTAAAATTTTTCAATTACCCATACCATAACAAAACCCATTTTTTTCTACCGTTGAATAATTTCTCTGTATCAGATTTAAAGCTTGACTCGCAAAAATAGCAGAGTGTTCACTATCTTCATATTCCTAAGTAACAACAGTACTTACAGCAAAGCCAGTATTTTCAATACTTAAAAGATCTGTTCTTGCTCATCTTTTTATTCGTAAGCCTGTCCTTTGCGTAATAATTTTAACAGGATCTTTAATTCTGAATAGTTCAGAATAAGTCGTGCGTTCTAGGTCATCTGCCCAGGAATCATCGCAACTGTTGAACAATTAAAAAAGCAGGGTATTTTTGTATAGGAACTACTTTTTCTGGACAAGGTCTCAAGCTTTTCTAGTCTGAAAGAAATTTAATATAACATAACTGTGAGCAACAGAAAACACATTTTTTAATGAAACTGTACCTATGTGGGCTACATGTGTTTTTAAAGTCTCATTCTCTATAATTAAATCGTCTTGATAAACGAATATACTCGATTTTATTTCCGTATCGAATAACTGATCAATTACTCGTTGGAAATTCCTTGGTGTGGGATGTCCAACAAACATTATTAATAATGGTTTCGTTGAGACATTACTTAACACTTTTTACTGCTCTGATTTACGTATTTATCAAAGTAGAAGGTAGGCAGAGGTGCTCTGAGGAATATTTTTGTAATTAGAAACATTACACGTGTTTATTTTAGTACCAACTTGCTCCAAAAATACAATAAGTACCAAAATATATGAGTATACTCTGGTGGAACTGATAAAAGGTAGTGTTAAGAGGATAATAATAATGTATATTAAGAAGTGAAATAATTGTTTTATTTGTTATCACCTTAACGACTAGAGAGTAGCATCTTATGACACAAGCTAGGGCTTTTGGTGTTGCGCATACTATTCGTTATTGTTATTTACATGTTATTTGCGCTTGGACTAGATTGTACCAATTTACTAATATTACAACACACCTCCTACTTATAAAGAAAAGTAAAAGAGAGAGAAAAAAAGAATATGCTTATAGAGGTATTAGGAAATATTAAATAGTTTTACCTCATTTTTCTTTCCGTGAAGATTTATATATCTTTTTTATCTTTCTTTACAGTGTTGTTACAGTGTCTTGTTATTATTTTTATTTTCTTTGTATACTATTATTTAATTAGTAATCTATCAGGGGCAACCTTATTACTATTTAATTAAGTTAAACTTTAAATTTCCATATCTTCATTTAAATTGATTATACATACTACTAAATTGATAAGAGCGATATTAGGCTACGGATAATAAATTAAGAAGTGGCACATCTGACAAAATAATTAACAACTAGTCCACAGTGGTGAAAAGCTACTGACTAAAACGCCCTGCGTGAAGAAATACATCTTGCTCGAAGTCTTAGTCAATACTTCTTTATCTTACTTATTATGAGGCTGGTACTTTCTGAGTTCATGTGTTTAGGCTTAGCGGCTCACTCTGGTTGCTACTTGACACTTCTGAGAGCCACGAAGTACATAGTCATCTTTGTTAGGGGATGACTTTCGTCGAGAAAGAGAAAAATAAGTTTATTTGTGTAAGTTATGACTTAACAGCCTCCTTTTCTAAAAAATTTCGCCGTCCTCGGTGAATATACTTATAAAAGTAATCCAAGTTAAGGTAAGAAGAGGATTATGGTAAATCCAATACTTCAAAAATTTTGAAAAAGTTTCTACTTTTTACCCTCCTCTATTAAAACTACTCCAACCTTATATGTTGAAATCTCTTAAAAATGATATTTATTAAACATGGTAATAATAAGAGAATAAAAATTTTTGGTAGCATTAAATTATCACTGTAAAGAAAATAATATAATGTAATACAATAAATGAGTGATGATAAATCTATAAAGTTATTACATGTATTTAGGATTGCGAAAAAGGAAAAGATTAATAATAGGATTAATTATAATTAGTTATGAATTAATGTATATGTATTCATGATTTTATCTATAATTCTGTACACAAAAAAGGTCCTTTTTGTATTTTTTACGTTCTTGGGTTGTCAAGGCTCTTAAATTTTCTTCATTTTTTTGCTGTCCTATAGTTAATTCATTTAATACTTCGAGATTTGTTGTGACAACACTTTCAAATCATAATCTGTAGTGCTAATCGTATTTTATTATGTTGAAGTTATCTTCTCATATGGGGAAAGTTTTTTGCATGTTCCATTGCGTTTTGCATAGATGGCTATGCTCTAACATATCCGCCTTATATATTACA